TGGCAATTATACTCTCCCCACCCTCTGACCCCTGCCAAATATCCTGGTCCTTTTAACTTTTTCTAACATTTTATTTTTAAATTTTAGACTTACAGAAAGTTGCAGAAAATAATACAGAGAGTTCCTGTATCCTTTCACCCAATTTCTTCTAACTTTAACAACTTTCATATAAAACAATTAGCAAAACCAAGAAATTAACATTGGTACAGCAGTATTAAGTAAACTATAGACCCCATCCAAACTTCACCAGTTTTTCCACTAATGTTCTTTTTCTATCCTAGGAGCTAATATAAGATTCTACATTACATTTATTTGTCATCTCTTTATTCTACACCAATCTGTGACATTGACACAGTCTTTGCCTATCTTTCATAACCTTGATAAAGAGTCCTGGTTAGTTATTTTGTAGAATGTTCCTCAATTTCAGTTTGGCTAATGTTTTCTCTTGATTTGATAGAGGTAGTGCATTTAGGGCATGAATATCACAGAAGTGATATGCCCTTACCAGTGTGTTATACCAGGGGATATGAGTGTCAACAATTATTGACACTATTTCAATGTTTTCTTTTCAATATGGGATATATATGTCTGCAACTAATTATGATACTAAACATAAGAAAGCAATATGTTAAAGTTTCTGGGCTTTAACCTGGGTACCTTAATAATTTAAAAAAAACAGACTTTATCTTTTAAAGCAGTAGCAGACTGACAGCAAAATTGAGCAGAAAGTCAATAATTGTTTCCCATTAGTCTATCACAGCTATTTTAGTTATGACAATCTTTTCTTTATATTTCTGTCTTCTAGAAAGGGAATAGAATACATTGTTGAAAGTCGCTTGTTTGTTTGTTTTCCACATAAATGACAATGCATATCACCATACTTTTCTTTTTATCTTCTTTAACATTTTAAGCAGTAGTATAGCCTGGCTCAACCAAATTCTCTAAAAGAATTAGGAAATAAAATTTTTAAAGCAGTTCAGAATTTAGTTGCTGATCTTAAGAAAATATGTACACCTTCATCTTGTTGCCTTTGATACTCCTGAGATGTTGAAATCAAATCTAAGATTGCTTTAAGATAGCCAAGTTGAATGTTATATCACTTTTTGTACTTGAAATGTTAATGATGCTAGCATGAAGGATGAGGCCCATATGCTGTCCTGAATACCTTTGCAGCAAAAAGAGTGATATACTGATTCTTATGGTATTATATAATAATCATTGTTCCAATAATTTACATTTAATCTTCAAGGAAGATTAAAATTCAAGGAAAAGAGATACTGAAGTTCAAGGAAAATAGATACCAAGATTCTGCAGTTAATTTTAAAGTTAATCTGGTCCAAAGATACACTACCCCTTCAAGGAGTCTGGATAGAAGTGCATTACAATATGATTTGTTTCCCTTACAATCTTACATATTTAATTTTATGTAATTAAAAATATTATTCTGAGAATAATTAGGGCCTCAGTAAGTTACTTATTGAGTACAAAGGAGTCAATGGCACACATACACAAAAATAGTTAAGAACCTCTGTGTTAAAGTCACTTAATTTTACTTATACATTTTTACAAGGGGGAATAATCTTTAGCTACATTTTCCTAATTCTAAGAGAGCATTTTAATTCTTCCATACTGGTTGAGATTACTCAAACTTGATAAGCAATGCCGTAGGCAACAAGTTGATAAGGAATAAGATCAACCAGATATGGCAAATGCAGTTTACCACATTAAAGAAACAAACACAGAGTTCCACAACAAACATTCTAACAAATGTAGCTTTCTATAAAATTAACACTTTCATTGTTAAAAAGTAATGTCTTTTGAACTACTAAAAACATTTCAGAGGCCGGGCTTAGTGGCTCATGCCTGTAATCCCAGTACTCTGGGAAGCCAAGGTGGGAGGATTGGTTGAGCTCAGGAATTCGAGAGCAGCCTAAGCAAGAGCGAGACCCCATCTCTACTAAAAATAGAAAAATAAGCCAGACAGGCGTCATGGAGCGTGGCTATAATCCCAGCTACTTGGGAGTCTGAGGCAGGAGGATCGCTTGAGCCCAGGAGTTTGAGGTTGCAGTGAGCTACAATGACACCACTGCACTCTACCCAGGATGACAAAGTGAGACTCTATCTCAAAAAAAAAAAAAATTCAGTATTACAGGCAAGTT